TCAACCACTAGATGTCACTGAAAACAACAAATCCTACACACTGTGCCTTTAACTGAAGATCATTATTGTTTGAATTTATACTTGAGAAAAAAGGGGCAGATGTAATAAGATTTTTTCTCTTCTGCCTTTCATTTTATTTGGATTTTCTTTTTATTTATTGTACATAGAATTGCTTTTTTTTAAAGAAATGAATAAACTTTGAGATAAATGCTTCAGGGTATAAAACAGACTCGTCGTCAGCGTTTCACTCGAGAGAGCGAAGTTAAATTTGACTTTGGCACCTTCCAGGCAGTCCTGGAAAGCATGAGTCACGATGCTTTCCCCTGGGTATCTCCTCTCTGATTCCTCACCCGCAAATTATATTTTCTTCGTCCAAGTCAGGTTGCTTTCCRAAACGACATTATTATAGAATAAATGGAGGGTTTCTGAACGTCTGCCTTTTCTTGTGAGAAAGACAATTTGCTCATTTTTGGCTTTCCGTTTCTCTGCAGGACAGCGACGGCCTGGTTTTTCACTACTGGGCTCTGTTCGACGGTCACGCCGGCTCAGGCGCCGCCGTCGTCGCCTCTCGGCTGCTTCAGCACCACATCGCCTGCCAGCTGCAGGCCGTCATCGAGATCCTGCGCAACCTCCACGCCGTGCCCCCCGCCGTGATGGGGGAGGAGCCCGACAACAGCCCCCACCTGCAGGGGAACACCGCGGGGCCTCACCGGAGCCTGACCCGAGCCGCCTCGCTACATGGGGCCGCGGGGTCCCCCGGCTCCCCGTCCAACACGCCGCCACCGCCGCGCCTCTACACGGAGAAGAAGATCCAACACGAGAGCCTGGTGATCGGAGCCATAGAGAACGCTTTCAAGGAAATGGTGAGGGCCACTACATTTAATAAAAAACTAGATTTAATAAAAGAGATCTTTAAATTAAACTGAAATTAATCCGTGACATGAAGTTAGTGAAGTCAGTTAAAAATGAGATGCTGAGTCAGCAGTCACACTCTATTCTGTATTTAGCTACTGCTTTGGTACTTTTACTTTTTAATACCGTTTTACAAATTTTACTTTATATTAATTAGCTAATTGTAGCGCTTTGGTTTTATAACAAAGTTCAACTTTAGTACATTTAATCATTAGCTATGATTTTGTGCCCTTTAACTTTTAGCCGTTTTGGTAATTTTAGTTTTTAGCAATATCTATGGTTATTTTAGCTTATACAGTGTTTTGCTAATTTCACCTATTAGCTAGGCTTTTGCTGTAGTTAAATTTTAGTTTTGAATGTGGCATTTTAGCTTTTTGTAACATTTCTGCTCATTTTAGCTCACAGACACCATTTTGCTAATCTCAACTTTTAGCTATGAATTTGCTATAGTTAGCTTTTAGCTTTGGATGTGACACTTTAAGCCTCTTGCAACAGTTCTGCTCATTTTAGCTTTTACCTGTGGTTTTGTTCATTTTAGCTTTTGTCCATGTTTTGTTAATTGGAGACTTTAGTAACTGTTCTGCTAATTTTAGTTTTGTTTAGTTTAGTTTATTCATTCATTTCATTCATTCATTTTAGCTTATAGACAGTTTTGTTAATTTCAGCTGTTAGCTTTGGTTTTCCTATGTTAGCTTTTAGCTTTGGATGTGGCATTTTTAGCTATCTTGTGACAGTTCTGCTCATTTTAGCTTATAGACAGTGTTTTATTAATTTCAGCTATTAGCTATAGTTTTGCTATAGTTAGCTTTTAGCTTTGGATGTGGCATTTATCACTGTTTGTTACATTTTTGCTCATTTTAGCTTATAGACACCATTTTGCAAAATTTCAACTTTTAGCTATTGATTTGCTATAGTTCGCTTTTAGCTTTGAATGTGGCATTTTTAGCTTTGAGCTTTAATTTTCCAGATTATTCCACAGTTTTGTTCCTTGCACTGAAGTACATCGTTCCATAAAACTAGTTTGGATTTTAGGTTTCACAAACACCTCTGTCCTTTTTAAATTGTAGTAACTTTGTCTCTTAACAAAATTCGATTGGATGTTCAAAGGTGATATATTTTTATGAGCCTTATACATAAACTGCAAAACGCTGTAATCAACCAACTCATATAATTTCAATAATTTCAGCTGACTTAGCTGACAGTGTTTTTGCTAATTTCATCTTTTAGCTATTGATTTTTTATCGTTAGCTTTTAGCTTTGGATTTAGCAGTTTTAGATTTTGGCAACAGTGCTGCTCATTTTATGTTTTTTTTCTTCTTTCAACTTTTAGCTACAGTTTTGTTAATTTTAGTTTTTAGCAACTGTATTTCCCAAACAGCTTACAGCTACTATTTTGCTTGTTTTAACTTTTAAAATTGAGTTCCTTTATTGTTCTTCAAATCACAGCAAATTGATTCAACACTCAGCTCTGCTTCTTTTTAGAAGATGTATTTGATAAATTTCCCTCAAGAAGTTAGCATTTTATTTAAAAACGTTTGAAATTATTGTTCATTATTTAAAACAGCATCTTCAGGCCAGATTATCTAGAAATGTATTCAAATCTCTTAAATTAAAACTACGTTAAAGTTAGCTCATTCAGTGGTGTTATCTACTAAAATTATTTCACAGTAAGATTATTTGTGTTTTTGAGGAGCTACTATGAGAAGTTGATGTTTTTGCCACTAGATGGCAGTGGAGCACAGTTTAAGCTCAACCAAGATAGTTCAAAAAAATGTTATATAAGCTCTTCTAAGATAAGCCCCTGCTATAATTCTCACGGCAAAATGAAATCCTCTCACATTTGATGCTGCGTCATTTATTGAAGATCGTCTGTGCATCATTTAAAGCAGTTACCGGGATAAAAATATATATATATTTTTTTATGTAAAGGCTGCAGGTTTTGTGTCATTGTTCATCCACCTGCTGCCTGAAACAGAACCTAGTGATGAGTAATATAAAATAAATAAAAGAGGAATCTTCCAGCTGAGGTGCATTTTAGTAAAACGTACCACCTTCACGTAAAGGTTTTTAGAAAAGATTTGCTTTTAAACCTGCAGTTACAGCGTTTTTAGCAAACATTTTTTCTTTTAAATATGACAAATTGACGTTGTGATTCCTGAAAGAAAAGGCAGCTCAAACCCAGCCGAAATGCTCACTGGCTGCAAACGCTTAATAAAGAACATACTGCCTGGTAGTTTTTGCACGATTTTAATTCACCAATTAGTCTCCAGCGGTCAGACGTAGGCAGACGTTAATCATCTCTATGGTTTTCTTTTTTTAGGATGTGCAGATCGAGAGGGAGAAGCAAATTTATAACATCACTGGAGGATGCACGGCTCTCACTGTGGTTTACCTGCTGGGGAAGCTGTATGTTGGGAATGCAGGCGACAGCAGGTGACCGTGGTTTTATGAACCTGAGGGGCAGAGACGAGCAGAGTTCTGGGGTTTTTTGTGTTAATGATTTACTCCATGTTGTGTGTGTGTGTGTGTCTGTCTGTGTCTGCAGGGCCATCATTATCAGAAACAGTGAGATCATACCCATGTCGGCAGAGTTCACCCCCGAGTCGGAGCGACAGAGGCTCCAGTTCCTGGTAAATAACTTTGAATTTGTTTCAAACAATCTGTTGTAACCATATAGTTGTTTGGTATTTTATATGTTAAACATCAAATTTATATATTATCTGGGCTGGGCTTGAAAGCAAAGCAAAAATAAGCAAAATCAGTGAGCTCTTAAATCTTAATATTTTTAGGATTTCTCATAAAACAGCTCCGCAAAATGGCCACACAGAGCTGGCCACGTCACCACACAGACAAGCATTTACAAAAATGACTCGCTGTGATCCATTTCGCCGTGTTTTGAACCAGAGAAAATCACTTCCTGTCCCTCCATCTGAATTTCATGCGTTATCCGGGTCACGTGACTGCAGCCCAGCCATTGAGCTGCCCACAGATTCACGTTGAGCGTTACGGCTCTGTTGCTACCTCGTGTCGCACTACAGAGGCGTGCCAGGAGTTTGGGCCGGTTTCAAAGCGACCTGAATGTGTCTACTTCCTGAACTGAGGTGTAAAAAAAGAGGCTTTTGTCTGTCCTCCAGGGTTACATGCAGCCTCACCTGTTGGGGAACGAGTTCACGCACCTGGAGTTCCCCCGCAGAGTTCAGAGGAAGGAGGTGGGCAAGAGGATGCTCTACAGAGACTTCACCATGAGTGGATGGTGAGCCAAGTCCAAATTTTAAGGGGATATTTATCTAATATCTGCATATGAATTTGGATTGAATACTAAAGCTAAATTGGAGTTGTTGCCGTGTTTACGTTTGCTAAATTCACTTAGCTGCTAGTTGCTAATGCTAGCTTTATTTTCCCAAGAAATGCCTCCTTATTCTGTCTCGTGTTAACTCTGTTTGGTACGAGGGAGTATTAGGGCCACACAACGAGATTTTTAAAAAAATTTTAAATTACGAGATTAAAGTCGTAATATTACGACATTAAAGTCGAATAAAATAGTCATAATATTACGAGAATAAAGTCGTATAAAATAAAGTCATAATATTATGTGATTAAAGTCATAATATTACGAATTTAAAGTCATAATATTACGAGATTAAAGTCATAATATTGTAGCCTTTATATGAGGAAGCATGCAGTTACTGCATTAAAATGAGGAATGTTGAGCATCTTGTCAAACTGTTCTTTAGTATTGCTATAAATAAATAATCTTTTAGCAAATTAGCATCAAATTATCAGTAGCAGGACGTGGAAATTGTGCAAACGACTATAAACTGAAGCCGTATTGTAATTAATGGATTTATTGTCAGATTTAGTCATCACTTAGCTAATTTGGATGAAAGCATATTAATCTAACAGTGACGAGTCATCATGGACTACTTTATGGTTGTACAGCAGGTGTGGGGAAAATGAGGAAATGAGGAACGAGAAATAGACACGTCATGATTATGTCTTTAATCTCATAATATTATGACTTTAATCTCGTAATATTATGACTTTAATCTTATAAAATTATGACTTTAATCTCGTAATATTATGACTTTA